AAACCGAGTCTGTCTTTCAAAGACTTCAATTCGAAAATATCGAAATTAAAGATGTCAATTAACTGATCGACTGTTATTGATGATAAAGAAGACATATCTCGAATGGCTTGAATTTGAAAAAGTTCACATAAATCATTATTCAAAATAGTTTTTAAAAAATCATAAAATTTCTCATGACTGAGATTCATCATATCATCACTTAATTCTTTAAGTTGAAAGATATCCATCGTTTTCAAAATAAATACAATATTATATCTTATAAAGTTAAGAGTAGTAATGAAGATAATTATTCGAGAAAGTTTGATCTATCCAGAACAATGAAAATAAAGTATTTCCTAGTAAATGTAGACGTTTTTTCTTTTATATCCATGAAAATACATTTATAACTGAAACTGTCTTCAAAAACATAGAATACAATGAGTGCTTAACATATCTCCATAAAAGTGGAACATAGAAAAAGTTTCTTTTGTCCACTGCAATGGGAATTAACTTTTTTACAAATGACAAATAAAATATGACAAATATAGATTTGGATAAATAATTAAATTTTCCTGAGTGTATCTCAAGAAATTCAAATAGTATATGAAAAATAATCGCTGTACAATTCGATATAAACACGATGAATCAACTACATCTATAATAGAATTATGAAATATTCTATACAATTATAATCGATTCTTCTTTGCATTAAGAATGTTCAAAGTTGAAGATGGACGTCTTGATGGAGATCTTAGTCGTTTTGAAGATGCATGTGTTGAAGTTTGATTAGTTTTTGGACGAGTACTTGATGAGTTGGAAGAGCGAATTGGAACATCTGTTGTATCTACAGATGATGTTTCATCATCAGAAGAATCATTCACTTGGTTCTATAGAAGATTTTGAAGAATAAAATGAATTTACAATGATAATTCAAAGAAGAAGATGCTTACTCTTTTGAAATCTTTTGTACGATGTTTTTCTTTAAAATGTCTATAGAATGTTGATAAGCTGAAAATTCCTGATGTTGTAAATGATAATTTGAATTGATTTTTACATCGACATGATAAAATACCAGCATACCGATCGTTAACCGATTTGTTAATTGCCAGGAAATAATGAACACCTAATTGCAAAGATGAACCATCATTTCCATTCGTTTTTCTCCACCATAAGTCGATACGATCTTCAATATCAATTTTATGCTCGATTTCGTTCAATCTCTTCACGGTTTGTCGTACATTTGATTGTGTTGATAATGTATCTTGTATGATTGAAACCGATGGTGATACTACTTCAATTCCTGTTTGTGTTTGGTCGGTTGATAAGAGAGTTTCGATTGAGACAGGTAAATGTTTAATTGAAGTTCGTTTCTTTTTTTGTTGTTTTTCCTGTTTCATTTTCAGTAGTTGAATTAAACTATTTATTGCAAGTTTCACTCCTAGTTTCACGTAAGATTTACCATCAGCAACACAGAAACAACATAATTCTTTTAATTTATTAATATCATTGGAATTATGCTTCAAAACGACTAAGATTTCATCACATGATGTATTCACAAGAAGAGTTCCATTTGTTATGGCTTGGAATTTTAATAATTCAGCAAGATCACTACCATATCTTTGTTTTATAAAATTGTGAAATTTTTCATCGTTATAAGTGAAAATATCTTCAGGTAAATCATGTATATTTTCTGTTACTTGAGAAGCAGGTGCTGTAGACGATGACATTTGTATCACATGTAATTGTTTTCAGTAACGATTTTCTTGAGAAAAAATGTTCGAAGACGTACAATGAATGGTTAGAGTCCGTAAGCTAAAAATAAACTATTTGAAGTTGCTTCTTCTTTTAGAATAAATGTTATAAAAAGAACTTACACAAAAATCTATTTATTTATATGATTAATAATGATCGATATGTTGTACAATTTTCCAAAGTAGTAGATATTATGGTAGTTAAAATATGTACATATATATAATCTAATTCGATTTAGATTTGATCTTATCCACAAGCTCTCCTCATTACAGTGTTCATATATTTGACAAAAATATATTGAGTTTAGTTTAGTACACAAACATATCTGTTTTGATAGTTAAAGTATTCGAAAGATAAAAGAAAAAGGTATTTTTTCACCTGACAAGCAAGATAATAATCAATTATATTTTACATAGACATGGTTAAAAGTTTTGAAAATAAGCATTTATTCTTACTGAACATTTTCAGTTCACGACGAGTTACTTTATAACGATAGACAGAATAGAATTCACCACCGCCTAGTCATACATCACAGCTTTATTCTACACTCGTCTATGAAAGGTCAGTCAGCATTTCAGCATTTGGCTAGTATTTCAGCATTTGACTGGCATTTCAGCATTTAGTCGGCATTTCAGCATTTAACTGGCATTTCAGCATTTATCGCTGTTTTTCAATGCTGAATGCCTGCACTTACCCCCTTGCCCATGCCTCAGAGAGACCACAGATCAATTTTTCGAGAAAAAGCAGATTTCGAGAAACAGTGCTAAAACTCACATAAGTATACCCAGTTTTCGACGCTGAGTCAGAATATTATA